GGCACTGGGAGGGACTGGGAGGGACTGGGGGCACTGGGATGGGCACTGGGGGCACTGGGGGCACTGCCCAGCTGGGCATGTTCAGCCCCATCGCCCTCCAGTTCAGCGCCTACAGCGCCTACACGCAGGCGGTACGGGCACGGGGCACTGGGGGCACTGGGATGGGCACTGGGAGGGACTGGGATGGGAACTGGGAGCACTGGGAGCACTGGGATGGGCACTGGGGGCACTGGGGGCACTGGGATGGACTGGGAGGGACTGGGAGCACTGGGATGGGCACTGAGAGGGACTGAGAGGGACTGGGAGGGACTGGGGGGGACTGGTGGCACTGGGGACACATCCATGGGGTGCTGGTGGCACGGGGAGATCCTGGGGTGTTGGTGGCATTAGGGTGACATCCATGGGGTCACGGGGAGGTTCTGGGGTGCTGGTGGCCCCATGGTGGCCGTGGTGGCCGTGGTGGCCGTGGTGGCCGTGGTGGCCGTGGTGGCCATGGTGGCCTTGGTGGCCCTTGGTGGCCGTGGTGGCCGTGGTGGCCGTGGTGGCCCCATGGTGGCTGTGGTGGCCGTGGTGGGCCGTGGTGGCCCTTGGTGGCCGTGGTGGCCGTGGTGGCCGTGGTGGCCGTGGTGCCTTGGTGGCCCCATGGTGGCCGTGGTGGCACGCGTGTCCCCGCAGCTGATGCAGCAGCAGGCCGCCCTGGTGGCCGCGCACTCCGCCTACCTCAGCCCCGTGGCCACCATGGCCGTGCAGATGCAGCACCTGGGCACCGTGAGCCCCAACGGGCTCCTGGGCACCCCCCTGGGCACCCCCCTGGGCACCCCCCTGGCACCCTCCTCAGGTAACGGGGACGGACGGACGAGGGACAGACGGACGGACACGGACAGAGAGGGGACAGGGGGACAGGGGACAGAGGGACAGAGGGACAGGGGGACAGGGGACAGAGGGACAGGGGGACAGGGGACAGGGAGGGGACAGAGGGACAGAGGGACAGACGGACGGACGGACAGAGGGACAGGGGGACGGAGGGACAGACACAGGGACAGAGGGACAGAGGGAAAGGGGACAGACGGACAGACGGACAGTGGGGAGGGGTGGCAGCGGGGACGGTCCCGTGGGTGGCTCGGGGACACTCGACCACCCCCGAATGCGTGGGGGGTTCCTCAGCCTCGGGTCAGTCCCGGCTCTGCCCCGGTGCTCTCCCCGTTCTGCCCCGTTCTGTCCCGGTGTTCCCCCGGTTCTGTCCCGGTTGTGTCCCGATATTTCCCCGATATTTCCCCGGTTGTGTCCCGATGTTTCCCCGATGTTTCCCCGATATTTCCCCGATGTCTCCCCGATGTTTCCCCGATGTTTCCCCGATGTTTCCCCGTTGTTTCCCGGTGCTGCCCCGGTTCCTGCCCGGTTCCCGCCCGGTCCCGACCCGTTCCGCCGCCCTGCCCGCAGGCACCAGCACCCCGCCGGCCGTGGCGGCCGCGCCGGTCCCGGCCGTGGCGGCCCCGCTCGCCGTGAACGGCTTCAGCCCGGTGCCCGCGCAGCCCGCGGCGCCGCCCGCGCCCGACGCCGTCTACACCGGGGGGGTCCCCCCGTTCCCAGGTGCCCCCCGAGCCCCCCGAGCCCCCCGAGCCCCCCGAGAGCCCCGGACCCCCCTGACCCCCCCTGTGCCCCCAGCCCAGAGCCCCGCGACCCCCGGGGACCCCCTGCAGCAGGCGTACGCGGGCATGCAGCACTATACTGGTGCGTACTGGGAGGGACTGGGAGGGACTGGGAGGG